GCAGCTCTGCTCGGCTTCTGCTCCTGAGTCACACTGTAGACTGGAAGCTACCTTTAGCGACGTGAGGGGCGCTGAATGTCCTCGATTAATCTTGGTGATCTTTGAAAATGTAAAGAATAAATCATACTCATAAAAAGTAAAACAGAATTCTTCTTAAACTTAAATAATACAATAAACTTTTAAGAAATCTTTAAAAGCACAATTAAGCTGAATTTTTGTTGGTAATTTCCTTTTTTAAAAAAAAAAACAGAATCTCATGTGCTGAAAAAGATTAAAGACATCTTTTAAGTATGAATGTGAGTTGTTCTTATTTGAGAGTAATAAACCTGGTCATGAAAACCATTTATAAAAAGGTTTTGCTTATCACGACTTCAATTCCAAAGTAAATGATCAAACAAAGAATGCTGCTGTGAAGATGTCCAAACTCCCCACGTGCCAGCACTTGACAGACAGACGGATGCCTGCCATCTTTCTCGGAGGGCGGTGCACTTACACTCCTATGCTAATCACCTAAAAGCGGCAGCCCAGGCCTGGCTGGTCCAGGGCAGGCAAGCAGCTCCATTAAATGGAGTCAGCAAAACCTTTAAAGGATTAATTATCAATGGCAATACCACCCAATTACATTAATTGACCGATGCTTCCATCCAACAAGAGTTGCTGATATTCATTGTCTGTCCTCAGGATTTTACTGGAAGAAATTTATGCTTTAAATGTGATTGAAATAAGTGCTGAAAAGGGCTGTACGTCAGGAATGAATGCTGCTCCTTAATTCTTTGAATTTTAATTTAAAATACAGGCTCAGACACCAGAAGACTGGCGTGTGTGTTTCTAACCCTTCTCCAGCTCCCCGGGTACACTCAGTAAATATACTGATACTTCAGCGATGCTGTCCAATGCCCCTAACACACAGATGCTTTGCATTTCTAATTTGCTTGGTACACAGGCAACCAATGTGCATAATTGAACTGCAAATGGAAGCGTGCTTGCTACTTTAGTGAAATTAGAATTCAGTGAAGGTTATAAAAATATTAAACTTAATATCATATTACAGGAAGCGTAAGTATTTTTGATGGGCCCATAATTTTACCACTTCACCTGCTGTATCCGCTGGCAAACATGGTTTGGAATATTAATGGAAAACTCCCTCATTATTAAACTGCAGTATTAAAAAAACCCACAACCACTAACAGCTAACCACAGCCATTTTCAGAAATTATCTACCTTAAAAATATTTTCCCACCAGACAGTTCAGAAAACAGATTTAATTTTGTAAAGCTAGAACAAATGGGGAGACCCCCCACTGCTTCAAACAATTCATTAATTCAAAAAGTTCTATTTTCCTTGCATTTAAAATCTCGGGGGGAGAAAAATCCAATCTCCTCTTCTCCAATCTCCATTTAAGTGTGCCTATTTTGCTGAGGTCCAGATTTGAATAATTCAAAACCATTTCTAGTAGATGGTGTGTATCAGGAAGCAAGGGGCCAAAACCATGGCATTCTGGACCAATTAATGCAAAGAGAAAGCGTCCCGCATCCCTCACGGGCTGCACTGCCTGATCCACAGGCCCGGGTCCAGAGGGGAATTCCGAGAGAATGGGATGAGATGAGCATCTATGTGAAGGCCAAGGACAAGAACTCGTCACTGACCCGAGTGATGGAGCACAAAACACCCCTTTCGGAAGTCACCACATTTTCACTTACTGACACAAAAAGTTTAGGTTATGCCAGTTTCCAACTGTTATTTTTACCACCTAAGTTTATACAATGGAGCTGTTGGGTTTTTTTAAGGACCCAATAAGTGATCTGCCATCTTCTAAAGAAAATAACATGAAAGGTCAGAGTCTAAACTTTTGACAAATCATGTAAGGTCCCCTAAACATGAGGTTAATCTAAAAGCTGAGAAGAGCGTCACAGGGTGTGTCTGAAAGACATCTGACAGCTAGAAAGTCTTGCTCCCACAGCACAACCCGGGTTGTGTGCCTTCAAAACCTCAGTCCCTGCGGACAGCTCCATGGGTGGCTATCACCCTCCCCACCCCTTCTCTCCCTGCTCACTCCCCTCTCTCAAAGAATGATTTATAACCTTCCCTAGTAGCTCGCACATCCCAGGGGTTTTCAGAAACGGGTGAGAAGCAATGTCCTCGTGATGTCCTTCTCAGGTATGCTGTGACATTCTGTGCTAGGCAGGGCAATGCTGGTAGAGTCTTAAGTAGATTCAATGGTCACATTTTTACAGATTACATCTCAAAATTTACTAGCGGCTTTTCACTATAAAACAAATGCATGTTATAGAAAAAAGAAAAATCACAAATTTCTTCTTAAAATTAGAAAAAGTCCATAAATTAACCAACTATATGAAAGTAGTTTCTTTCTAAAAAGGCAATTCAAATACACACAATCCACCTTCAACAAAAACTAACCAGTTTATGCCCAAGCTAGCGGAAGAATGCAATCCCTGCCTTGTAACAAGTTTTCAGTGAATGCAGCATTGGTAAACGCTTGGTGAGGTCGATGCAATTCTCTCCATTTTACAAACGAGAAAGCTAGAACCTAGGGAGGTTAGTGGGTTGGCCAAAGATCAGCCAGCAAGTTAAACCGCAGGGCTGGGCATCCTGTTCAGGTTCCCAGGCCCCAAACCCAGGGGTCTTTGAACACAGTGGGTGAGACCACGCGTGGCCATGTGCACACCTGGGGGGCAGGAAGGCTGCCTTTGGACAACCCGCAGTGCCAGTTCGCTGGCATCCTCCTTGTCCTGAGGGTATTTTCTCTCCCAAAGGACCCTGGGGACACTACATGCTCACTGAGATGTCATCAGGTAGCTAGCTGCACTTTAAGAGGACCCTTGGAAAAAGCAGTGCTTTTTACCCCAGATATGAATGTCTACCACATGATCCGGGGCCCCTCAGCACATAAACCTGCCACAATGGGTGCCCGCCTCCTTTGCCAACTGGGGAGGCCGTCCTGGAAAGGCTTCCCCCAGGTCCGTCTCAAGCGCTGAGATAAAGACACACCAAATGAAAACAAAGGTGCCTTGCTTATGTTCAAACATGATCTTCTCTCATCTACGGGGGCCGTCTGAAGACACAGGGACATTTCATTACCCAGCTGCTCTTCCCCCAAGCACATCACATACCAAGAGCCATGGTACTCCATGGTCTGCATCCGTCTGTACGTGGGACAGCCCCTAATGCTGCCGAGGCACTACAGGGCCACTGGATGGAGCGCGAAGACCCCTGGCTCCAGCACCAGCTCTGCCACTGATCGCCCAGGGGACTCTGAAGACCAGGCCCACTCTCTGTACCTCACCTTCTTACCTGGAAAAGGAGGCCACAATCACAACACCATGGCCTTCCTTAAGTGGTAATCATAAATCCAAACAAACTTTAAAAGACGTTTCCATGATGGACAGGGATGAACCTTTCTAAAATGGATACACACCCACCCACACACACCCCTGATATCAGAAAGCACATCTACACTGTACGACTGCCTGTTGAGACTATTTTATTCAGAAAACCACGTGGCTGCTCCCATACTTCCTGTGAAAATTGGTAATTCTCATTTACTGACAACCTTGCCCAAATTTGATATGGGCAAGCAAATCGAGAGGAAAAAAAGTCAATAGAAGGGAATACAAGATTTCAGCTGCCCTTGATTTCAACAGAAAAACAGAAACCCATGTGTTTTTAAACCCTACGGACCCAAGGGGTACAGAAACGCCGACACCCTGGGCCCTCGCGCTCTCCAGGGGCTCCAGTTCAGAGCTGGCAGGGTCGTCCACATCTTGGCTCTGTCACTTGCAGGCTATGTGAACCCACAGCCACTGGTCTCCTCCTTAGTACAGCGGAGGTGACGATACACTCCTCACAGGGCCGCTCACAGAAATTACACGAGGTAACACGTGTGCAGGCCCAGCACCCAGGCAACCCTCAGGAAATGCTGGTTCCTACCCTCCTCAGTTCTCTTGGATAAGAAGCCAATTCAGGAACCCAGACTGGGTCTTACAGCCTCAGAGAGACGTGCACAGGCGGATAGCCGGTGTAGGCGCGCCATGATGAGAGAGACCAACGGATGTAGGGAATAAGAGTTTGCAGAAATGATCAGATAATGAAACACCTTATATCTTTCCAAAGAAGTGAATCATTTTCTTTTAGGTGTCAAGTGAATGGCCAGATGTATCGCAATCAAAATCTGTCATGGAAAAAGCCAGCCAGGTACCCATTTCAAATGAGTAGCGGCTTCTAATGACGCAGAGCCCTCTGTGACCCTCTCCTGATACCTAAAGGATAAACACACTCGCCCCCAGAGCTCCTCCACAAACACAAAGGCATTCTTGAATCCAGAAGTTCTAATGAGCTAAAAGCTTATAACATTTCTAAAATACATTTAAATTCAAACCCATCACTTATATCGCCTTAATTCTGAAATCCGATTTTCAGTTTGGGTACTTTACCAGCATCTTTTCAAAAGCTGGACTCTGGACAACATACGCACTCTCAAGCAGACGGGGAAAGCCCATCAGACAGGTGCAAAGCTTAAGCCCTGGAAACAGTGCGGTTTCCTCAGCCTTCCTCTCCCTTAGCTTTTCACACTCAGTAAAGTCAGTTACCAATCACTGGAAATGACATGAGCTTAATGTCAGAAATCATTTAGGTTAAATAAGAAAATAACTCAATTTAGCTTTCTACCACAAAGTAAAATGAAGTTGTTCAGCCCTTTTTTATTTATTACCAAAGGGCAGATTTAATTTCAAGAGAGTGAAAACCAAACTCATTCTCAAGTACAGTCTGAAGTTACCACTTTAATTTTGCTCTGAACATTGAGGCACAAAGGCTGTAAGCATGCAACCAAAGCATGAATTCTAGAAAAACAACAGGTGAGTGGGGCCCCCTGAGCTTGGAGGGCTGGGGGGAGAAGTCTACGCTGCAAGCATAAGCTTTAAGAATCCCACTGGCTCCGGGCCTTTCTAGCCCCCGTCTCAGCCACCACTATTGGGACTTACCAGACACATTGATCGCAGCCCCTGCATCGATGATCCCGCTGTTGGGCCTCACGCAGTATCTACGTGGCGCCGTGGTCTTCACTTTAAAACACACGTTCCGGTCTGTCGGGTTGCCAAGCTTTAGGTTGGTGGTGACAACGTCAGTGAAGGGACCTGTGGGATGAGACGAGACTGACTGGGGATGGAGCTTGTGAGGAACGTCTGGAAGAGTGATGTGTGGGCTGGGGTCGGGACGGAGATGGAATACGGTTAAGGGAAGATTCAAGATCCACAACTAAAGAGAGACGAGCTGACGTTAACGCACTGACAGCAACGGCTCAATGTCCTCACGGTCTCACCATGCCACCAAGCACCCAGGAAGAGTTCTCACACAGTGTCTCACTGAAACCTCCCAATTTTGTGATTATCTCTGTTTTACAGAGAAGACATGTTGCTTGTCTACGTTTTCATCCTAGTTAATGGTAGTTAGGTTCTGGAACCACGCAGCCTGAATCGAAGGCAGTTCTTAACCTATACTGAACAGCGACTTCCACAGTAACAAGAGGAAATCTAGCCGGGAGGATGTGAAGGACGAGACCTGGAGCCAAAATGATTATCAATGGCAGAGTGTGCCAAGCGTGGCTGATGTAAGAAGTGAGAATGGTCTAGAAACACAGAAAGCTGCTGCCGCCAGGAAAGGTCGCATCATCCCAGGCTACAGCAAGTTCACAGTCCTGCTGGGCAGCCCACACCTGAAACGTCGCAGTCAGTTTAACTACCCAGCCTACTGCGAAAGTTGAAACAAAGCTCAGAGCCCTGAGGGCATATTTGATTATTATTATTTATTCATTTTCTACTTTATTAGATTTTTTAATTAAAAAAGTAAAACATGCCTCTTAAAATAAGCCAAACAATAAAAGATGTATAAAGAGGAAGTTAATAAGCTTTCCCTTGTCCCCTGAGGGACAATATGGGACATCTTTCCACATCAGCTGTGCTTATACACACAGTACATACACAACATGTGTGGGGAGGGGACAACAACACTGGGGTCACACTGTTCTATTACTCTGAAACTCGCTTTTCCATTACCAATCTACCAAGGACACCTGACTACTGGGTTTACTAAAGAGTCAGGTGGGAGGGTTGAACTATCAAGACCTCTTAGGTCTTTTTCAAATTTACATCTTTTCACCAAGTAAATCAATACCTTTGTGTTTCCTCCAGGCAAGCTCTTTACTCCTATCTTTACATTTACAAGGAAGTAGGAGACGGGGTGGGGGAGGTGTGTGTGCGTCTGCGCACACACGTTCACATACTAAGACATACATAATGTTCCTTCATCAGTTCCCTAAGAAGACCCAGCCAACAAAGACATTCAAAGCTATGACCTGAAAACTTTTCAATGAGACTCTAAGCTCCTGAGGACAAGGATGACACCTTCCTGGTTTCTGTATGTCCAGCACTGTGCCTGGCATCTAGTAAAGGGGGGCGGGGGCGGGGAGGAGGGATGGGGGAGGAGGAGGGATGGGAGGAGGAGGGGAGGAGGGAGAGAGTCATTCACCAAGAAGGAAACTACCTCACAGATTACCACCAGCAAAATGAAAATCTCAGGCTGCTTTCTGTCCTCTAGAGGTGCTCTGGGTACGAAAAATCAATCTGATATGGGTTTAACTTAAATATAAATTAAGAAATCAATAATGGTGGAAAGGAAAAAGGAAAAGAAAGTCAATTCCAAAAATCAAATAAACTACAGCCAGTTCTACTATAAAGCTTATTTTGAAACTGTGAATTTGTTCCAATGTGATTGATGTGCATATTAGGAGGACAATCTGAGCATAAAACGAATTTCACATTTGCTTATGCATGATTTTGTCTGCAAGAAACGCTTGATGAACACAGAAAACTGCATCTTGCTGAAGCGTGCTGCATAGAAATACACAAATACACACCTAGGACACACTCAACCCCCTGCCAGCCACCTCAGTCCACCTTGGGGGTTGGTTAGGAGTCGTGCTCATCTCACCTGCTCTCACAACCTTCCCGCGGACCTCTGGTAACCCTCCTTCCCTCCCTTCAGGATAACTCACCAACTGCAACTCTCCAGACTCCCACTTCCACAGGCAAACGTCAGGTCTTTTCCAAGCTAAATAACTGTAGCATTTATGTATGTCCTACCCAATTAATGTGCGTAAAACTGCTCCTGTTTTATTAGTTTCCTATCTTTGTGTGTGTGTGTTGTGTGTCCAACAAAGTTTTTGAGTGTTGTGCACCTAACTTCGTTTCCCCTCATAAGTCCTGTGGTTTTTATTGTGCTAGTTTGTGTAGTGTGGTGATTTTCAGGAATGCATATGTCGCATCAACACAAAACCAACTCTATTACTGGATCACCCATCTGTGGTTTGGGGGTTACTTATATCAAAACTATTCTCATTTCATGACACTTTCAAGAATGAAAAGCCAAAGGTAATTCTCCGTCTGTTTACCTTGCCAGTGAGTCCTGCCTTTGGCCCTCTGGGAGTCAGGCTGGAAGCCACAGCGGGTAGCACCGTGCAGGGCAGCGGTGGGCAGCCGTGGGCAAGGCGGTCCTTGGTAGTGCACATCACCTACTGACTCCAGCGCAAACAACCCTCTCTATGCTCGAAGGCATCTCCTTATTGAGAACTACAAGCTTACACAAGAGGGCAGGGGTGGCCTAAGAGGATTCTCAGCCACCATGAGGGGAAGCCAGATGCTGACAAGGCTCCATCTTAGTATCAGGTATTTGGCATTAAGGCAGAAACAGGACACTGGGTGCTGAGGCAGTGTTTGGGGGATTAGGGAAGCAGCAGCTCTCTGTGACTATATCCCTTTCCACTCTCCGAAGCAGGCAGTCTGATGCCTAATGAAGATGGAGCAAGTCTGATCTCTCCCATTAAGTCTCACTGCTGGCTTAGGGGACCGATCACTTCAGCCATGGTAAAAAGAACAACTAAACACAACTCCAGTATTCTGGGGAAAACCAACACACGCACACGCGCGCGGCGCACAAACCAACATGGATACAGTCACCACCTCGTGACATTCCCGGCCCTCACATGAAAATCGCCAATCACAAGAACTCCACAGAAGCATACGCGGTGTGATTAAAAAAAAATACGGGGAATGTTTAAATAAAAAAATGTATTACAGTAAATGACACATTGCCATTAATCCCCCTCAAAACACTCCCCCTCGCTTGGAACACACTCATCCCATCGTTCTTGCCACTTTCTGAAGCAGTTCTGGAAGTTCTCTTTCGTCAGTGTCTTTGGGGGAGTGGGGGGAAAGGGGAGGGGGAGAGATTTTTCTAAGGTGGTTTGAAGTATACTACTAATAGCAGAAAATAGGAATGCCGGCAAGATCACTGTGATGAAATTAAAAATACCTACTTTACTTGATTCCAATTCAATTTTAGTGTCTTTCTCCCCACCCTACCTCCTGTAGTTGGGGGGAGCCTAAATTTTCCAAGTTCAGTTAAGTTCTTATTTAACATGTGAATGGGTCCTGTGACTTAAAGCAAAATAACATACACTGCAACCAATTTTGCCACAGGCTAATTGATATAAACAAAAAGGTTCTGTTCCTATGTCATCTCATCAACATCACAGCAAAGCTACTTGAACAAAAAGACATTAACTGAGGACCTTTTGTTTGCCCCTTGCACTAACCTTTTCTTGTAGGTACTCTATAAAAAAAACAAACTAAATTTACTATAAACACTAAGCGGTGTTTGGCAATTCCCCTAGTTAATCTATTACATAACAATCTAAACAGTGTTTCAACCTATATGAATCACATCAAAGGTAGTCTATATCATTCAAAGACAATATTTGTAGTAATAAGCAGGACAAAATAAATATCCCACTTTTCTCCTCAACAGGATTTCTTGGGCTTACACAGGTTTTAATTTGTAAACATCTGGAGGGAAATATACTGAACATATATGCTAGTGAATGATATCAGTGGTGAAACAGCAAAATCTCATAAGTAAAAATCCAGACATTTGGTACAAACAGGCCAACCATCCTCTCCCCACCTGCAGTAATTTACTCCAAGAATTTTATTGAAAATAAATTCTATTCGATTTGAGTAATTAAAGGAAATAAACCATGTTAGTGGTCTCCTTTTCCCCTGTATTAATGAATTAGAATACACAAAAACCTCAATAAAAATGATATAAGGGCTTATGAGCATCATTCAGATTTTTACTAGTCACTTTCATTTCATAAAACTGCCATTTCCATTAAAGCATTATGTAAAAAATGGGATTTTACTATACCAACATGCATATTTATCACCAATGAATTTAAACATTGCTTATAAAGTACAGAGTCCATTTTACAAGTGAAATCTCCTTCAAAAGTGAGACTTTTTTTTCTTTGAAGAGATGAAAAAAACGATTTGGTATGTCTACAACCACAGCACATACTCTTAATCATTTCTCTTTCTAATCTTCTACTCATTTCAAAAGTTTATACAAAACTAGGAACAAAGCACTGAAAATGTGAACTGGGTGGTCAAAAAAATGAAGCAACATGACTTTGGAAAAAATTAGGAATATTCTTTAAATTTTTAATTTTTCGTCTTTTAAACAATTTGAATAATGTCCTTTACTCCCTTTATTATGTACACTCACCTGTGAAAATTCTTGTGAATTTGACAGATGCTCGAGAATAGCATTAACTAACTTGAATATGAATTCCTTGACTGCTGTAAAGGTATCTAGATAAAGCTAAGCACAGTATGAACTACAGCAGGTCCTCATATAACATTGTTTCATTATAACTTTGATGAGACGCCCTAAAAACTTAACTCTTGTTTATATCAATTAGCTTAAGGTAAAATTGGTTTCATTATACATCTTTTCGCTTAAAGTCCCAGGACCTATCCACTTACAGTATTTTCTACACCCACTTTGGCTTATTGTCATTTTAAAATGTGTATTTCAAGAAGTAAGAAGGTCTAAGGGCCGGCTGAGTGGCTCAGTTGGTTAAGAGCTCACTCAAGAGTGTGAGCTCTGAGCAACAGCGGTTTGATGCCCGGCCCGTGCTGAGCTGCCAACAGGTGGCAGGATGGCTCAGCTAAAAATAAAAAAAAATAAAATAAATAAAAAAGAAGTAGTAATAAGGTCTAGAATTGACCTTAGAAAGCAA